CTATGGTCTCAGGAGAAGCAGGAATGCCTGTTGATATCTGTCTCCAGATAATTCATAAATCTTAGAGCCTGATAAGATAAGTGCTTAATGTAAGTGGATGGATAACTTTATGGACTTGTTCTTGTCCACTGCTTGGAAGGCATTCATTACACCCATGAAAGTGCAATAATAATAATAATACAAACCCATGGTTAACCTTATTAAATATCCCGAAACAGAAACAGCCTCTGAGGGAGGTGCTTTGGCGATTCCCATTTTATAGATGAGAAAACTGAATTCAGAAAGATTGTAATATTTGCTCATTGTTACTCAGCTAGGAAGTTCCAGAGTCCAGTTTCCAAACCTTGTTTCTAAACCAGTGCTTGACCTCTTGATCTCTGTGATGCCTTATCAGAAAATAATAACTAAGCAAAAAAAAAAAAAAAAAAAAAACATTGCCCTCTTGTGAATCATGCAACACAGTATCAAATTTTTTTCTTTTTACCTTTAGCCAGTCAAAATTACCATCCTGAGAAAGAAATTTACCATTACCATTTCACATGGATGACATCGGAGCCTCTGGTAAGCATATGATTTATGTAAGATGCAATTCATAAGATATGGAGATTTCTTAAAACCACGCTGTTATGGTTGGATATGAGGTGTTTCCCCCAAGCTTCTCAGTTAACACAGAAATATTCAGACATGCAATTATTAGATTACGGATGCTATAGCCTAATGAGTCCATCCGAGTTTGAATAGATTAACTAGGTGGTAACCATAGGCAGGAGGAGGTACATCATGAGAATGTGCCCTGGAAGAGTTTATTTTCCTTGTGGTCCCTTTCCCTCTCTCTCTGCTCCCTGACCGTCCACCATGCCCTTCTGCCACGATGCTCTGCCTCATCCTCTGGCCCGGAGCAGTGGTGTTGGCTGACCATGGACTGACCCTCTGAAATCATGAGCCAAAATAAACTTTTCCTCCTCTAAGTCAGTCTTGTCAGATATTTTGGTCACAGCCATAAAAAGCTGACTAACACAGAAATTGGCACCAGAGTGGGGGCTATAGCTGTGACTAACCTGACCACGTGTTTCAGAAGCTTCTGGAACTGATTTGCAGGAGGAGTTTAGAGAAGTTTGGAAATGCAGGCAAGAGAAGCTGTTGACTTCTGTCAGCAGAGTTTACTGGGTGAGTCCAGGGGGAGCTCAGAAGTCCAAAAGCTACACCGTTTCAGAGGGAAATGAGAACTCTGTCGGGAATTGCAGTAGAGGACACCGTGGTACATTCTGGCAAAGAAATTATCTACATTTTGCCCGTGTCCTGGGTTTTGTATGAGGCTGAATTTTTAAAATGATGAAATACTTAATCTGGTGGAGGAAATCTCTGCATTCAGACAGTGACGTGGGTTTTGCTGGCAACCCTTAACCAAGTTCACTGTGAGAATCAGGAGCAGAAAGCAGAAATAAAGGATCCAAAAACTTGTAGTGTGCTACAGAAGAGTGCCTGTAAAATAGGGGCCAAGAAAGTTGTGGGATTTAAAGAGATTTCCACCAGAAAGGAGAAATCAAGTACTTTGCACAGAGACAATAGGAAAGATGGCTTGATGACATTTCAGGAATTTGCATGACTACACCCCTTGCAGACTCCAGGGTTTAGAGCAGAAAACTGAGAGGAGATCATGAGGGCACCCTACTTGCACAGGGGGCCCCAGGGAGTTGTTTCACTGGATCCTGCTGCTTGTACTTCAAAGGCCACTCAGCCATGACCCCAGAAGTCTCATGTACTGCTTGAGCTGGAAGTAGACCTTGACACCATCCATGTGGTACTGGTTCTTGAGGAATGCAGGATGTTGGAGTTAGGGGGTCATAGAGGATTCTACAGAGATTTCATAAGAAGGCCTAGAGACCAGGCAAGTGTAGCCAGGTCAGAACCATCATAGATGTCCCCAAGAGGGTGATATATGAAGCTGTGAAGGTAAAGCCAAAGAGGGAAAGGAGACGCCAGTAATTAAGAGATGCCAGTGGCATAGATTGTCTGTGAAGGTAAGCTGCTAACTGCAGAAAGAACTAGGCTAAGATAGTGGTCATGAATACTGCAACTGGGAAGACCAAGGGGGCAGGACTTCCCAAGCCCTTTGGAGACCACAACTCTCCACCATGTGCCCCAGATGCCAGACATGGAGCCACAAGACTTGTTTGTTCAACTGGGATTCTCTCCTGTTTTGGTCCCATTCTGTGCCTCTATTCCTCTGTTTTGGAAAGGGGATATCTATTCTGTGCCATTGTACATTGGATACATGTAACTTGCTTTTGAGTTTTACAGGGGCTCACATTCAAAATATCCCTTGAGTCTTTGAGGGGACTTTGAAGTTGTACTTTGGGGCAGTGTTGGAACTGTTAAGACCATGGTAATTTCTAGAGATGAGCTAAGTGCATTTTGCACTGTGACATGGATATGAGGTTTGGGGGGGTCAGCGGTGGAATGCTACCGTTTGGATATGATGTATTCCTAAAAGCTCCCATATGAATGCAGGAACATTCAGAGGTGCAGCAATTAGCTTAGGAGTACCCTAATCATTCCATTCTAGTTTGAATGGACTATCTGGGTGGAAGGTAGGCAGGTAGGACATGGTTGGAGGAGGTGGGTCCCTGGGAGAATGACCTGAAAGAATGTGGTTCCTTGTCCCTCACTCTCTGCTCCCTGGCTGCCACGAGCAGAGCAGTTCTTCTCTGCCTGGTTGGTGTACCCCACCTTAGGCCCAAATCAACAGAGTTGGTTGGCCACAGACTGAAACTAAACTTTTCCTCTAAGTTGTTATTTTAAGGTATTTTGGTAACAGGTGACACAAAACTGACAAACACAAAAATCCATTGCTTCTTACCTGAGAACAATACTGTCTCTGGATATTTCAAACCCACAAAGCCATATTTATACGATGGTTCTAGCCAACTAAATGTTCATGAAGGTCAAGGTCACCTTTCAAAAACTGATGCAATATAACACTGACATTGAAATGAACAAAGAGTCCAAAGAACAGGGAACCAAATCCAGGCTTGGATTGAGCCAAGGACAGCAAATGTGTCTCAATATGCAGGACAGGTCAAGTTAATTAATTTAAGTTTCCCTGAGGGCTATGCTGAGAAGAGTCATGAATCGCTTCCTTCCTGGTCTTTCCCAGTCGGCTAAGTTGGTTCCATGTTGGAATGATTGATGATGACTGAGATTGGATGGATAGGTTCGGTTTATCTCTCCAGATACGCTCTTCCATGTACACTCTTCTCTGTTCCTAACCCCACAAAAGGGTCTACACAAGGAGTTTTCTTACCTTCTTGGTTCTAGTTGGGCTTAGCCAATGGGGAAACCATCACGGTATTGAAGGGAGAAAGGAAATTGAGATTGTCCTGCTTCTCTCTCTGTGGGTGGTCATGGGATGACTTCAGTCCCTGGAAGGAAGTTCCCAGCTCCGTCAGGAGACCCTCCACTCTCAGCTCTTTCTCTCTGCTTCCCAACTGCTGTTTCCCCTCTTGCTAACCCTGATTGCTACACTGTGCCTCTTGGGTTTCCTCCACGGGGCTATATCCTTATTAAATATCCATTTTATTAAACTCTCCTCAAGTTGCCCAATTGGAATGTTGCATGACTCTAACTTACAGAGTGACCATGTAACATGGGGACGTATTAGAAACATGGTCAAGGAAGAATGAAATCGGTCACATGTCTCCCCTGGAAAGGGAATCCCAAGGATGCTCCCCTTTCCCTTCCATTCCCTTCCATTCTCTTCTCCTCTCTTCGTTTTCCTTTATTTTCCGTCTCTCCCTACTTTTCCTTCCCTTTCTCTCCCCTTGCTACCTCTTTTACTTTCTGCTTCTATTCATCCATCCATCCCTTCCTTCCTTCCTTCCTTTACTTTTTTTTATGTTTGTTTTTATAGACCCTTCTCTGATCAGTCTGACCTCCTGAAATTGAGCACAATGTAGTATAGTGGAGGGGGCCTAGAAGTTTGTATGAATAGCCAAATGAGACAAGCCTGTACTCACACCCCCCACCCCCTCTTACTTCTCTCCAGGCTTCAGGCTTGGCTGGGGTGATGAGACTCTTGAGGCTTCACGTTTCTACTCCATGAAACTGGAAACAAACACTACCTGTGTCACCATGTTATTGCTACAGTTTGGGTCTTAGCTCTCCCTTGTCCATGTGTTAAAGGCTTGGTCTGAGAGGTGGTGCCTTTGGGAGGTGTTAAACCCTTTAGGAGGTGGGGCCTTAGGTCTTTAGGGGTATGACCTCAAATGAATTCTGAGACCCTTGCTTCTTCCTGTCTTTTCCTTCTCTTTGTTTCCTGATCCTAAGGTGCGCAGTTTGCTCTGCTCTGTTTTCCCCACGGTGGCCAGTCAGCATGCCTACTGCAAACTCAGTGCAATGGATCCACCTGACCTTTCACTGGAACCCCCCAAAAACTTCGAGTCACAATTTTCTCTTTATAAGTTAATTATCTCAAGTTTTTCATTATGGTGATGGAAAGCTGAGAAACATGATTATTGATCATGGAAAAGATAGCATCTATAAAATTGCCCTCTTTATCACCTTTGTCTAGTTTTCATGAATCCACAGAGTGTAAGTTTTTGAATAAGATGTTTTTTTTTTTTATCTGCCCAAATTCAGCAGGGTATCAGGAACTTCCTCCTTCCTTCCTTCCTTAATATGTGAATCCTGTTGCTTCTTCTCAAACTTTAAGGCTTTGATTCAATGACTCTTATCTCTAGGAGTCCTGAAAGACTCATAGAACTGGAAGGATTTAACCAGTAGCCTTTTATGCCATAAAAACCTCAGCAATCCAGATCCCTGGAGACAGATTCTTAAATTAGATGTTGAGCTTCCTGAAGACAGGGATCGATATTATTTATTTCTCTATTCCCAGTTCCTGATGTACAGTTTTTACACAGTAAGTGCTGAGAGAGTTAATGAGTTATACTGGGCTAATGTTTCCAGAGATCTAATTTTCCCACAATAAACACCAAAGCATCTTCTTATTTTTGTCATTTGGAATGAAAAATATTATGAAAGTAAGCAAACAGGAAAAATACAATGCCATCATTTCAAGTAGAATATACAGAACATTATTTTGATTAAAAAAAAAATCTGAAAACATCTTTAGGAGCACAGGCTATGCCACTCTACTTAAATGAATTAATGTGTCAGGTTCAGTGTCATTTTGATCTGAACTGTCCCTGGATAGTTTTCTGTTTTAAATCCTCAACTTGTAGTTCTTTCATTGCCCACTTTCATATTCTCTCTGTTGCTGATTCTAATGTGCTGTGCACCTGGATATCAAGTCATTGTAGACATTTGAATTCCATGTCATATGGGAGTGAAAAAAATTGTGTAAGGAAATGCAAAGGTATAGGGGTCAGGTGAACACCACCTGCTATGACTGGTCAGAAGCTTTTGTTCTTTTCTTTTTAGTTTCTAGATATTTTAAAGACAATGTCGGCTTACTTTGCCACTGAAGGCCAAAGACTACTTTGCCACTTTTGAAAGAATGTCTGGACTTTTGACACTTTTGGAAAATTATCATATCTATATTGAAATCTCAAATCCTTGAATATGGATCCTCATAGTATTTAGAAATGAGGAAGTTCCTATGAATAGCTTCAGGTTGACTCCTGAGACCAGCCATCGTGGGGCACTGTCCTCCAGATACTCAAGGGATGGAAGTGGCAGGGTCACTCTGAGAGAGGGAGGAAGGAAGCAGTGTTCTGGAGTGAGTCCCTCATCCTCACTGTGTGTCACCAGCAACTAAAGTCCTTTCTGACCTTTTATTTGCTTAGGGTGCATGCTTAGAGATGACCAGCCACCTGGTAAAAGACTTCCCAAGCCGACCTGAGAATGAGAACAGGCGGGAGTATATTGTAAACATAAATGTCATGTAAATATTCCAGTGTTCCTCAGGGTGGTGTTGAAGATAAAGGTCCATGCCCAATGCTGGCAGTGAGTGTCAAAGGCTCAAGTCTCCACATGAATGTCATGTCTCCACATGAGATCTGGGGGAAGTATTTCTAGGACAACGAGAAGGAATTTAAACTACAATTTCCTCTGGACCTCAGGGTCAAACCTGAACACCTTCCATTAGGAAGTCTATGTACAGAATCAAAGGCAGTGAGCCTTGGTCCCCTCAAATCCTTCTACAGGGTTCTTATAACTGTTCCTGGATATTTAGCTGCAGAAAAGCATAATCTGCCCTATGATGATACTATGCTTCTTTTCATCAGAGTGGTTGCCAGGGGTCTTGGAACTCCCTTCAGTTCTTAATTAATGATTGTCTGATGATTTGCTCTGATTGGATTTTCTTTTCCTTTCCTCTTTGCATATTCTGATCTTTCTGCTTGACTTTGGTATGTGAGAGTCATTTTCTAAATGTTAGTTCATTCAACTTATTTCTGGATGTGTGAAGCAGGAGTGTTGTAAACAACGAATGAGTGGGAAATAAATAGATAATGAAAAATGAATGAATCGTAGAACTGTACTGCACAAAGAATGAACCTTAATGTATGCAATGTATGCACATAAGAACTCATTTTGGAAATCAAGGGAATTCCAGGAAGGAAGACAGACTATGACAAGTAAGTGCAACTGTGCAGCAAATGTATAAAGCAGCTTCAGGAAGGGGACAGAAGGGAAAGGAATTGACCTAAGTAACTTTGGAAAGGAGTTGTCTGTAAGACTTAGGGTGAAATGAGCCAAAACGCATCAACACTGCACTCAAGTTGATACCTCATACAGGGGTTTGGTTTAACAATTCTGATACCCTTATGCATTCATACTGGAGTTAAGCACATGGATGGCAGATGGTAGAAGTCAGGTTTCATACTGTTGGAATGGAAATTTACAGATAAGAATATGAGGAGGCTATTAGAGACATCGGTATAAACTCATGGTTATCTTGATATAGTTATAGATGGAAACATTTGTAGATATGTATTTGGGCATGGTTTTATATATACACACACACACACACACACACACACACACACGTGCATGCGCGCTCATACATGTATTTGTGTTTATTTGTTTGTTTTGCTCAGTCAACTGAGAATGACTCAAAGAAATGGTACTCCAGAACAATAATAATAGTAAGCACATCTGGTTCCAGATGCTGGTTGCTAATACTATTCTCCAATAAAAGAAACCAGGACTTCTTGAAGAAATGAAACCCTTAGGCTAGGGGCAGGAAATGTGCAAGATATGTCTTGGGCAGAAAGTAAAAGTGCCCAAACATAGAATAATTATTTGATCATATTAATAATGGGATTTTGCCAAAGGACTACAGGAGTCCATTGAAAGGGCTCCCAATGGCCAAAACTGGAACGGTTTGACTAATACATTTCACTAGTATTGGATAAAAACTCAAAGGATACATAAGTTCATTCTTATGTAAATTAATGATTGACTGAATTAATAAAAGGAGGAGAAGACACAAATCTCCATGTAAGAGAATTCCATATATAGTAACTTATCTGGATACTCTGTCCTCAAGGAGGAGAAACATAATTTGGGACTCCTTAAATTTGAAGTATGCATGGTGATTTCCTTCCAAGGACTACAGTATGAAAAGGGGAGGGGGAGAGTAATTTTTCAGTAGAAAATTACTATCTGAGCCAGATGTACAAGGTCAATAAACACAGTCATAAATTATATTGATAGTAGGTACCCTTGATGCCCTCTGATGGAATGATACATTACCTTTCTGGTTCTTCCTCTCTAACACATGACTCTCATCCAATCATGAGAAACACATCAAATTCCAACAGTGGGTCACCCAAAACACCTGACTGACTTCTCATACTTGTCAATTTTTCAAAAACAAGGAAAACATGACAAATTTTCAAGAGGAACCTGAGGACCCATTCTAACTGAATGCTATGTGGTATCCTGAGTGGGATCCTGGAGCAGAAAAAGGTTAAAACCTAAGAAAATCCGAGCAAGCTCTGGACTTTAGTACATACTTATGTATGAATGATGGTTCATTATTTGTTACCACCATAGGATACTAAAGCAGGATTTTAATAATAGGAAGAATTATGGTGTCTACAGAAATACTGTGCTAGCTTCTTGACTTCTTAGTAAATTTAAAACTGCTCTGAAAGAAAGCCTCTTTCAAAAAATGAATGAACAAATTATTATCAATTTAGCTTTATAAATTATTGAGCTACAAATTATTGCTGGGGTTATTATCTAGGTATTGTTAAATTGGGGAACATGTTTTCTTTTGTTTGTTTTTGTTGTTTAGTGAATTTACTTAATCTCACAGAGGTTTCATGGCTGTGAAAAGTAATAATATATATAAAACGATGAGCATAGTGGCTAGAACCTAGCAGGTCCTTAATGATTATTTGGAATGATGGTGGGGATGATGATAATGATAATGAGTATTGGGTTTTGCTTTAAAAAACTTACATGTTGTTGCATATTATGATAGAAGTAGGTATAAAGTGTCTTTCCTGCAGTACTTTGAGGATGGCCTAGAAGGATATTGGGTGAAGAAGGCAGAGAAAGCCTTCTTTTGAGGAACCAGCATAATCAAAGCCTAGAAGCATTGAGAGGTCTCCTGGAGGGACTTCAGTTACCTGGGATCTGCTTTTGCCAAAGCACACCATGGAATCCTAATGGAGGGAGGGAAAGCAGGGCTGGAGTGGTCAACCAACAGTGGTCAAGTCACAGGAGGCAATGGATTCTGCACAGCCAAGGGACCTGAGCTCTCTTCTACAGATGATGGCGGAGATGGGGGAAACTTTGAGGATTTTCTTTAGTACAGAAAGGTAATCACGTTTGCATTTTGAAGGAGACTCACTCTGGCTACAGTGTGAAGTGGGATTGGAGTGTGACCAGATGGGATGCTGCAAGACCGGTGGTGACATTGAAGCTGTCTGAAAAGCATGACATTTTCTTGGGGGAAGTTATAATCCTCTGATTTCTAAAGTCAACCATACTTGTGTGAAGTACCTGTCTAAATATTCTCTTTTTACATGAATTAGCTATAAAAGTAGAAGCTAACTTTGGCACAGAAATGCATCTGTGAGGCAGAGGAAAACATTTCCTTTATAACCATTTTTTGTTCCAGTCTTCTTGCCGGGAGAGAAGAATGCAAGATAGAACTGAGAAATTGGTGAAATTTCAGGAGTTGCCATTTTGAAGCTCTCTCTCCCATAGATATGAAGCCGTAGGGTTTTGTGGGTCCTGAGTTTTTAGTGTATTTTTTTACACATTTATCATGGCCCATCCCAAACTAAACTTTAGAAACTGGCAAATATTCTGGTTGCTTAGCATGAGGGAAGGAACAGGAAGTCAAAGTTGGAGAATGAGCATCTGAGTTCTTGCCTCAGCGAGGCAAGAACTTGCCAGGGTGGGACTTTTTGTAGTCTCTTGACATTTTAGAACCTACTGTAAAATATTCTTAAATTAAAAATATGTCCCCACACTACCACTGTCTTCATCATCACCACCACTACTGTCATATCACCTAGACCAACATCACATCCTAACTCCCATTCCACAGCTGATGGTGAGTATAAAATGTAACCTTGTATACAAAACGCTTTGAACTTGTCATCAGTAGATCATAGCACATACATAAATGTCTCCAAAATTGCAATGTGGAAACATTGATTAAATTCAATATCTGGCACATTTGGTACCGATGAAACATTTGCTGAATGAAAATATGGCCTTTGACTAAGGTCTTTCACCCTGTATTATGTGGATGCATACTTTGTGATACAAAAGCCAGGCATCATATCCATGGATCCTTGCTTTCTGATATAGAATATAGCTTAAGGAGATGTAAGCAGACTTACACCATAAACATTGAAAGAGCTTTGGTTCTGATGTTATTAGGTAATTCCATCCATATCCCAAAACAGGTCCATAATCTCTTAGAATAGGGTTTGGCTCATTAATCATTAAATCCACTGTAAAACAAAGAGTTTTTCATGTGTATGTCTTTCCACCCATCCATCCATCCATCCATTCATCTATTTTCTAGCCATCATGTATTCTATCACCTATCTCTCCATCATCTGTGTATCTATTTGTCATTATAAAGATGTTCCCTTTTTCCCAGTTATAGGTTCTATGTTGTCCTTTGTGCTTAAAGCTGAACTGTTCTTCCCATCACAGATTTCATGTGTTTTGCACATAATACCCTAAATTGCTAGGTGTTGATGCCTCTGTTCTTTTATTGCCAAACTGCCTGAGCCTCAGCCTTGAGCCAACTTTTCTTCTGTCAGGAAAGCCAGCTGCTTTTTCAGTAAGAATGTTTTCTTAAAAACAGAAACAAAACAAAACAAACAAAAATCCCAGATAAACAGACTTCCAAACAACTTAGAAAAAATAGTGTACACAGAGTACTTTGTCCAACTTCTCTCTTTCAGGCCCTGTGGACCACATGTTAACCCTCTCTGGCAGAAATTTATTAACCTCTGTGTCTTGGCATTTAGTACAAGGTCTGATATAAAAAACAAATATTCATGGAGTAAAATATTCCTCTTCATTACATCTTAGAACTAGTCTAGGACTCGGATGACTTGGTGCTTTGCTGGTTAGAGTGTAACCTCTAGATCAGTAGCATTGGCACCTATGAGTTTGTGAGCACTGAGAATCCCACGCCCAACCTTGAACCTATTAAATCACAATCTTTATTTTAAACAAACCTGGGCGATTCATTTGAGAATCACTGATCTTGTCCAAAGATAATGAAATTTAGTTGAAGATTGGAATAATCTAAAGAACTTTAAAAAATATTGATAACAGGATCCCATAGCTTCAGATTTATTTGATCTGGAGGTGTTGGCTGGATATTGAGCGTTTTGAAAGCTTCCCATGTCAATCAAATAAGAGGCCAAGGTTGCAAACCATTGAGTCCAACTTTCTCATATAAAATAGAT